TATAATAATAAAAGGAAAGTGATATATTTGATTTTTTAATAAAAATACCATAAATATCTAATAAATTTAATATTGATTCATTTTTTGGCTCCTTTCTCACATAATACTTTTTCAAAATTTTCATTTTCAATTGTTTAAAAAGTAGATCCTCTAATACTACAATTTAAAGCTGATAAAAGAGGATTTTTTGCAAAAATATGATAGCAAATTGGTTTTTCATAAATTTTTAATGTTTACTAATCAATCTTATAGAATAATATTGATCCATCCCCCATACCAAGCATGAATTACTATTGAGATGGAGTAACTAAAATTGTATATATATTGGAGTTGAATCTATTCAAAGTAAATATTAATTACTTTGTTTGAGAATCCAAAATATCCTAAGTTCTACCTTTTATTTCACCAATATATTTAAGTATATTTACTTATTACTTTGCAGCTTTAAAATCAAACTAATTTTAATCTTCAATAACACCTATTTCTGAATATTCTTAAATATTTTAATCAATTATAACACCAGATATGCTTAAAATCCTGATTATATCTGAATTAAGAAATTAAAATGCTAAAGCTTAAACTGGTTTTGCCAAGTTAACTTTTAATCTAATTAGAGTTATAATCAGATAAATCCCATAATCGTATTGTGTGATCAATTCCTAATGATAACAGATAATTCACTTCAGTTGAAAAAATTAGATTCGAAGAATATAATTATTTTCCAAGTTAAGTTCCTTCTAAAATAACAATTTTTTTTATAGTTTCTTACGATATATATAATTTAAGTATTTTTGTATATTAAAGAGCAATCAAACTAAATACTTAATTAAATCCAACTGAGAAACTTTCCAAATCAATTTTTATTAGGTTCAGATTCCAATTACGAAAATCGAATGTTGGTAATCTAAATTTTTATCAAATATCCAATAACTTCCACCCATACATCAAAAGATTCAGACCATAAAACTATATATTCCTCATCTTTAATCGGAAGCAAATAAAGAGTGTGTATTTCTCTGAAATTAGTTAGATATATATGACTATCTCTGGTCCTATAACGAAATTAACACAAGTTTATCAGTTACATTCCACAACTTATTTTTTCATCAATGTGACATGAAATTAATATCTTACTATTATCGGAAAAATTCATTGATAAAATTTTAATATTTTTTCATTAGAAAATAAATTAGCTATTTTTATTTTTTTTCAATTAACCAGATATTAAGAGAATATGATTAATCTTGTAAAGCCAACATTAATGAAATAGCACAAAATGCAATTTTCCTTATTTAACTAACTGATATACCAACAATCTATTCATTTTTTAACTCTAATTTATTGTTTACGGAAATAAACTCTAATGGATTGCTTCTTATAAGCAAGTTTGTTGAAAGTATAATCGTTCTTGATTGAATCTTTGAATCGGATTAAAACGGTAATTATTTCTATTTACTAATTTTTTCCAAATTCAAAAGAAATATTTTAGATTTATCAATCTACCAAATAAGTAGATTCTAATCTAAGCTAAATTATTATTACCAGATAGGTTAACACCAAATTCAGTAATATATTTAGTATTAAATTTCAAGATATGAAAGAATTCTTGTTCACCCTTTGCGATAAAATATTGATTATTAAGGTGAATTAAAAAATAGGGATGGAAGTCTTTAACCCTTCATTAATATATCAAGCTTTTTTAATTCAACCAAATCCCATCTAATTATTTCAACCGATGATCCTGTTACCATTTGGAAACCATCTGAGGAATACATACTTTATAACCAGAATAAGAATGACCATCCATTTCAAATTATTACTGTTTTAAGGTTTTTAAATCCCATAAATTTATGATATTATAACTAGTTTAAGCTAATAGAGTTAAAGTAGAGAATTTTTATATGTAAATATATTTTTGAATGAAAAAGACAATTTTTAATTAATTAGTTGCTGTATTGCTCTACTTGAAATTGTAAGCATATCTATTCTTGCAGTATCCATTTTAAAGAAAGAGAGCTATTTACAAGATTTAGTATCCCATAATTTAATTCTTAAATCTAAATAATTTGTAACAAAATTTAATTCATCGTAAGAGAAAATGGAATCTATACACTAGAATTTTTAATCAAGTACCTCTTCAAAACAAGAAATTACTTTTTAAGTTTCAAGTTCAATTAATACTAATTTTTGTTCCACCAAATCAAATTATTGATACTTGTTTTTACTTAGAATTATCATTGTTTCTTACTAATTTAATGCACAGAATTTTGAATTAAACTTATTAAAATTTATTTATTTAAAATCTTATTAGAACAAATTTCTAATTGAAAATATATCAAATTGGCTGTTAAAACTGACAAAATATTGCTATCTTATGAAAAATTTTAATAATAATAGCCAATATGATAATTCTATTCTATTAATTAGAATATTTTTTCAACTGGAATAGTATTTTCAAGTGATATAAATTAAATATTTTATCCTATTCCCATTTCTATAAATTTTTCTTCTGAATCAAAAATTACATCTCTTGATATTTCTCTATTATCAAATATTAATAATTCAATTCACTATTATTTTAACATGTTTACCAAAGCTAGCTATGCAATTTTAACTAAATATACAAATTTATAATTTTTTTTCTAAAAAAATCATTTTCAAAGTAAGATCAGGTAATTAATTAATAGATGATATATTTGTTTATTAAAGATCTTTATATCATATAAAACTAGTTATCCACTTAAAACAATTGCTAATTATTCTTTCCCAATAAAACAAATCAATAAACAACATTTACTCACTTAAAAATTCTACAATATTTAACTTGTTATAATATCTTAGATGAATGCTCCCTTATTTGTTGCAAAAGCTAAGAGTGAGGAATCAGGGGAAAATTAAAAGTCTTTGCTATAATTTTTCTCTTCAAAATGAATATTAGTGTTATTATTGTGACTTTCAATAACTATTATCTCTATTCTATTAAAAACTCTATTGGTGAGAGCGATAATTTTATTATTTTAAGATACTGAAATACAATAGGCATCCACTGAAAAGGGAAAACTTTTTTTTTTTTTAAGGATTATTCAATTTATATTTCCAGTTGATAAACATTAAATCTAATATGAGCAATAATATTTTAACTATTCTAATAATACACTTTATAAAGTCGTCCTCCTTCATCAATCTTGATTTATTTATCAATATCCAAGCATTATTGATTTATTTTCCATATTCTAAGAATTCTATCCTAGCTAAAGGATATCAATATCTCTCCATTATCACAAAAATTTATATCAGTAAATTATGCTTCAACAGCATAACTTGAAATCAAATTAAGTTCAGCAAAATTCCAAAATTTTACCTCATTAGAAGTTGAGCCATATAATGATACCAAGATCTATTTATTTGGACAATAAATAATCTTTTGAGCTCCAAGTTGCTGTTATAATGTCATTTAAATTTTGGTTTATCCAAGTTAGTCATACTCCAAAAAATAATTGTTTTATCTAAACTGGAAGTTGCCATTTGCTATCCATCAGATGAAAATGCAAGATCTAAATCTTGATCTAAGTGAGTTGTCAATTTAACTATTAATTATAAATTTAGTAAATTCCAGAGACAAATAATATTATTCAAGCTACCTGAAACTAAAACTAAATTATCATTTCTGAATTTTAAAGTTGAAATTTTTTTTGAATGTTCTTTAAGAATCGAGAGCATTTTAATTTAGAATAAATTTTTAATGTCCATATACTTATTTATTAATTTGTACTACTTGCTAAAATTTAACAATCTGAAGATATTTCAATTAAATCTATTTGATGTAATGTATGTAATCTAAAAAAGTCTTATTGATAGGGTAACTTTTGAACTTCATATATTTAAATTAAGAGCAAGTATTCAAAGTAAAGAACTTACCATTATTTGAATAAGCTACCTATGTTACACTTTATTATGAATGAAAAAAATTTAATAGTTAAACTTGATTAAGATTCTAAATATTCCAAAATTCTAATTTCTCATCATACCATCCAACAGCTAATACTTAATTATCTCTTTAAAATGCTATTCCAATGCTTAATTATTTCGTTCTGGAAGTTCCAAGATTTATTAAACTTCTGAAATATTTGAAGCATTCCAAATTGTAATTTTAGTGTCACCTGTATCTAACAGTTGGTATTGGGCGAAATAGCTATACTAATTTTTATATTTTAAAAAAAAACATTATATTTTTTCTTTTAATTTCAGGATGAAGGTTGTTATTTTTTGTTTAATACAGGAATGTCCTTTTTGAATATATATTGACCATATAATTATTTATCTATAATAATTTGAAATTAGATTAACCTTATCAATTTCATATTTTGATTGATCTTTAGTGTCATCAACTTAAGTATTGTCTTGTTGCTAGATAGCCATTTTAGTATTACTCTTAAAATTAGGAGTTTATATCTCACTACTCATAATGTTTGTCCCCATAATATCCTTTTAGGCCCAAATATTCTTTTGTTTTATTTAATCAATACAAATAAAACAAAAAATAATAAAATTAAATAATATTTACGATTTCAAAATAAATCTTGAGCTGGCAAAAGCAGACCAAATTACTGATTATTTATATTTAATTGGATTAATTAGGAGAGTAAAGGAACATTATAGAATTGATGATTTTCTGATTTCTCTATTCAAAAGTGTGAATCTTTATAAATGGAAAGTCATGAAACTTTTGGGTTCAGTTAATTTCTTTTGCCATTTACTTCCTTGAATTAAGTGAAATTGAAAGAGTTGATTATATCCTTAAAAGGTTCATAGTAATAAGATAAATAAGAATAAATCTATTTTAATACTTCCCTCATCCAAAAATTTAGAAATATAACAGTTAATAATTCTTTCCTTCAACTGCAAACCTCTTAAAATATCAAATTTTGACTAATTGCTATTTATAGTTAAATTCTACCATTAAAATTAATTCAAAATACAATTTGTGAGATATAAATTTGCTAATTTTATTTGGTAATAACAAAAAATGAAAGAAATGAAAAAATTGCTTTTAAATTACATTTGGGTAAAATATAAAGAAAATAGATAGTGATTAAGATAATGGATATTTTGGAGCTATTTCAAATTTACAAAATTAGAAACCAAGATAAAAATAATGAATATAATTTATTACTTCGAAAAAAAGAATAAAAGCTTGCTTATTTATTATCAGAAAGTTAACAACAATTAAAAAAAAGTTGAAACCAAAATCTCAAAAAAAATTGAAATAAAATATTTCTAAGACAAACACCATCATAGAAGCAATAAGAAAGAGCAACTTTACAAATTTAATAATTAATTATATTGATTAAAATATAAATTGAATCGATTTGAATTGTAATTAAAATTTTATCTATTTTATAAATGAATCTAATCATTTTTTAGATGATTTCGTTCCAGACTTAACTGATTTAGCAGCAGGATTTGATTTTTATGATTGTGAATCTTTAGGAGCTTATTAAGACTATTATTATTATTATGAAGATTGCTGAGAATCATTTTATTTTTTGATATTTTATACAGTGGGTAACTCTTGTTGTGCTTTGGCATTAATTACGGATTCAGGCATTTTCCAAATAAAAATGGCTCCTTCTGCCCCAACAGATATAATGGATTTTTAATCTGGACTAATGGTAATCTAAGAGATTAGAAAAATGCTACCCTTGTGATTGTACCAGAATGACCTTATCCTTTGAAGTAGCAGATTCCTTCATCATAACCCCAAAGTTTGACTTCTTTGTCTTCACCTCCAGAAACAAAGTGCTCTCCTTCTTTAGTAATTGCAAGAGCATTGACTTCTCCTTCTTCTGAACCATCCAGCATTCTAATAGCTTAACCATCAAATGTTTCCCAATAAGTAATCTTAAAATTTTAATTAAAACTTTACTTTTCTGTCACTACCTGTAGTTAACAATTAACTTTCTTCAGGATGATATAGGACCATTTTAAATAAAGTACTTTCGAATAAACACATTACTCTGGTGAATGATTTGAGATCCCAAATAATACAAGAACCATCGGCACTAGCACTTACAGCTTATTCATTATTTCTTCTAACTTGAATCGACCATACTCGTCCTCTGTGTTCTTTCATAGATGATTTCATAACTTAAGTTTGCTTGCCTATTTCCCAAACTCTGACTTCTCCTTCAGATCCTCCTGAGATAATTCTTTGGCAATCAGATGTGCATGTTAAAGATGTACAACCATGAATATGTGCATCATTGATCACATACATCAATCTACCTGATTGAGGTAAAAATGCTCTGATTTTTCCATCACTCCATCCACTTACTATACTTTTTCCATCATTCATAAATGCAACAGCCCAACATTCTAAATTAGGTACTTAGATTCTAAGCAATTCTTATCTATTTTTTGCATTCCAAACTCGGATGTCATTTAATGAACTTGTAGCAAAAACATCAGAATAGTTGTGAGGAAAAGCAACATCATTAATCCTTTCATAATGGCAAGTGTTTCTAAGCTCAGGTAATAATTTCTCAGTGTCCAACCAATAAATATTACTTTAACTTGTTCCTGTGAAAAAATGAGTATAATCATTAGTAAATGTTATCGAAGTAACTCCTCCTAAAAGTTCACTGCTTGCAACTATTTGCATTGTTTAAAATGACACTTTTGCTATCACTCCATCACCAGCGCCAACAATAATATCACCATTAGGTAATAAACCTAAACAATTTACTCCTTGACTAAAAAGCTTTTTAACAGGGGCTAATCTTTTATATATAGCCATATCCATTTAAATTTCAAAAACGTCTCCTGTTTTTGTACCACAATAACAATATTTATCATTTTTATCAATCGCAACACAAGTGAATGTACGCTTCACGTTGCCGAAATTTACATCTACAGATTAGATCTTTTATTAATAGGATTATTGAATACCTTTTTATTTTATTTATCAATTGTTAAAATTTAAACTCCAGTATTTAATACTGCTATCATTTTTTCATCTGATTAGTTATAAAATTAGACTTAGTTTACTGGATCTCTATTAGGAGTTCCATACAAGGCCTTTCCTGCTTTAATGTCCCAAACAATCAACATATTTTTATCATCAATTCCTCCTAAAGAGGCTAAGTATAATTCATTATAGGAAAAACTGAGCGATTGAATCAAAACTTTATGTAATTTTAACCTGTGAATCATGCTTCTTTCCTTAAAATCCCAAATAATAATGTCAGCTTAGAATCCCATATAAGTCCTTTATCCAGAAGCTACATAATCACCTGAGCGAGAAACTGTTATCACAGAAATTTAGTTATCGTGACCTCTAAATAATATTAATATGAGATTTATACCTTAGAAATGTTTAAGCTCTGCTGATTATATGCCTAACAACTATAGTCGAACCCAAAGGATAGATTATATGCTTATTATGATTACTTAAACAATACCTCATTATCTGGATGTAAAATCAACCCTTAAGTAATTTTCCCTGGAATGATAATTATGTCTATATACCTGTAAATCCAATAACTGCTTGAATTTCAAGTTCTGATAACATTATTTGTAATTTTATTTTTCAAATAATATAGTTCAATATTTAATTAAAAACTGTTGTATTTTAGATATATTTATTTATAAATTTTATGAAAGTTAATTAATCAAACAGTCCAGAACTCTTCGTTGTCTTATTTTTCTAATCTTATTCTTATATCCCTATTTACATTTTCTACAACCTAATTAGAATAAATAAAATTTAAATACCATTTTCCATAAATTTGAAGAGAATTCATCTTAATAAAATGATTTTACATCATTCTTCTCCTTCAACAAATTGATTTTTCTGCGATCATAGACAACAGTTTAAATAATGGAATTAGATACACTATCAGCAATCATTTTCTCTTTTGCATACTGAAGTTCGCCAGATATTTTGTTGGATTTTGATGACATAAATAAATTAGCTTGTATTTAGTAAATTAACAGAGCAAAAGCAATGAGACTCAAAAAGACAATTATTTTAAAGAGTAAAAATTTAGAGTTTTACTAATTATTCTTCAATTTGGTTGAACTGCCATCATCATTATCATTTAAACTAAGTCTGGGAGTGGAAGTGAAAGAACTAATACTACTTTTTGGAGTTATGATATTGTTTTTTAGAGTTTTAACTTCGTAAATAGTTGATTTTGCAGCCCCAAATTATTGTGGAAATATGACTGAATTTAGAGCATAAGATTTTGAAGACTTTTCGTTTTATTTGGTTTAAACATTTGTGGATGTAAGTTTTCTGTTTGATATATTTGAAAGAGGTCTTAGTATTGGAGATTGACTTCGATTCATTATGAATTCAAATTTTTAATTTATTTATTTATCGTTAATGTTAAATCTAAAAAAGAGATATTATCCATATTCGTGGTTATTAGGAATTTTGCTAATTCTTTCGATTTTCTATCAAGAATATCAAAGTCTTTCTTATACATCGTAAATGATATTATTACTCTTAAAATCACATTATGAAGGTTTTAGATTGAATATTTTCTTTTATGCTTTAAGTTTACTATTTGATGTATGCAGAATGAAATCACTAAGTCTGGTTGCTATTATTTTATATTTTTTTTTGACTCATAAGTTAAACAACTACTATTTGCCAGATGGAGGAAATCCTGTAGGTCATTTATACTTAAAGGCAGGGTTACTTAATAATTACAACCATATTCCAGAAATGGCAATCTATTATCCTACATCATTGAAAGATTGTAGCAAATGTAAAAAAGGATTCAAGTGGCTAAAAGTAAAAGATTATGCTAAAAAAATGGAAGATACTGCAAAAAAAGATGTACACAGAAAAAGGAGAATTCCCTATCTCTTTTTTAGAATTGTAGTTTCATAATTCTATAAGTTTATGATAAATGTTTATGAAAATGCATAAATTGATTTAAATTTTGCAGAGACCACAGATAATCTTTCTAAATTTTCAGTCATTATTTTGAGTCATGGTTTAGCTTCACATTGTGATGGTTATTCAGTAATAGCAAGATATTTGGCTTAACAAGGTCATATTGTCTTTGTTCCAGAACATATAGAGAATATTCGTAATATTTATCTAACTAATGAAGAAAATAGAGAATATAGAAAATTATAATTATAAGATAGGTAATTATTATTTCATTCTAAAAATAGAATCAAAACTATAAAATAAGTATTGGATATAATATATGATGAGAAATAATTCTCAGATCTTTTCAAGCATCCCAATAACAAGATACAACCAGACTTTGATTAAATTTCCATCATAGGTCATTCATTTGGTGGTTCTACAGCTTATGCTATAGCTTAGACTGAAAAAAGAGTGACAGGAGCATGTATACTTTATGATCCAGTATTGTTATCCATTTTATAATCTAGTGTCTGTATATTTTCGATTTTGAAGAAAAGGTTAAGTTACACATTCCATTATTGAGCATTAATTCTGATGATTTTTATAGAAGATTGTATTCCTTTATGGAAAATGATGAGAGATTGGAAAAGGCATTTTAATTGATAGATGTATATATTGGCTTAATTATAGGGTCCAATTTCAGATCATTGTGCAAATATTTACATTAAAGATCAACAACATGCAGACTTTTCAGATATCCCTATAATTTGGAATGGTGAAAGCGGACTTTATAGCATTTCAATAAATGTTCATGAAGTTCATTTGAGATTCGGGATGATTTTACTATTGACAAAAATATTTTTAGAAGAATCAAAATAATATCATAAAATTAAACATAATAAGTAGAATTAGGATGGAAATGTGGAATTAAAATAAAAGATTCTATAAGAAGTAGAAAAGCAGTTTGGAAATCAGAGTCAAAATTTATTAAGATGGACAGCGATTCCAAACAAATGATTAATATAATTAGATAATTCAAATTATAATCTTATGAGCAATATTGATAAACTTTTTAGAAATATAAAGCAATATGAAAAGGAACCAAAAACTGATAAATAGATAAAAATTAGGTTATTAACAATTCAAATAGAACCTATTTTGATTACTTTTAATGAGCCAACTTTGAAAATAAAAATAAAAATGTATTTATAAGGTATTTATTGATGCATTGAGTTGAAAGGTGGCCAAAAAGAATCCAAAAGAATATAATATATTAAAAATTTTCACTTGGTTGATATATATAATAGATTTAAAGAAAATAACATGATAATAAAAATAAGAAAGAAGAAAAAATAATATAAAGAATAGAAGATTATAGAAGAGATTCTTCCAATTTCAAAATTAATAAAGGTAATTGATAAATGTTAATATTCTAGAAAGTACTTAAAATAAATTAATTATATCTATTTAAAAATGATTCGAATTAAGCAAATTCGAAGATAAAATAGAACTTTTCAAAGAACAAGATTAAATTAGTTTAAATAATTGTGATATATTTATAAATTATATTTATAAATTTAGTTAACAAACTTGATGTCAAATACAAATATGAATAAACCAATGTAATAAAGTGATGGAGATGAAATATTCTTTCATATTTAAAATAATGCAGAGCAATACAACATTTAATCGGCAGATGAAAAAAATTAAAACATTAAAATGATTCCTGATCAAGTTATAGAATCATAGACAACAAAACCAAAACCATTGACATTTGATCAAATAAAATTGGTTTCATCCACTTAAGTTAGTGGTGATGGACATGTTAAATCAGTAAGAGTGTAATGTCCATAATGCAAATAAAAAGTATTATAATTCATATTCTAGGTTGATACTGTGATTATTCGCAAGCCAGGAACTTAAACATATCTTGCATCATGTATTCTTTTGCTTTGCTCATTTGGTTTAGTATGCGTTTCTTGTTTACCTTGTATAATTGATGATTGCAAGGATGTTTTACATTCATGTCCTCAATGTAAAAGTCCATTGGGAAAGACATAATTTAAGATTTTAGATTGATTCATATATATCACACTTTATTACAATTTAATTAAAATTGAAAATAATATGTTATATATTACATATATTATATATAATAAAAAATTTATATGAAATAATTTCCCATATAATAAGCAAGAAATCTTGTGAATGAATTTTTTGAATTTGTTGCAAAAGCAGTGAGTCCATTTCATGTAACATCTCTTTGCAAAGAAAAACTAACCAAATCAGGATTCACAGAATTGAATGAAACAGAAAATTGGAAATTAGAAAAAGGTGGTAAGTATTTCTTCACAAGAAATCTCACTACTATTGTAGCCTTCACTGTTGGTCAATAATTTGACCCCAATAATACAGGATTTAAAATAATTGGTGCTCACACTGATAGTCCCTGTTTAAGATTAGCTCCAGTTTCTAAACTAGATTCAAATGGATTCCTACAGACTTGTGTTTCTACTTATGGTGGTGGTTTATGGCATACATGGTTTGATAGAGAATTGACTTTGGGTGGTCGAATTATTTTTTAAAAAGATAATGTCTTTTAGAGTTAGTTATTTCATTATCAATAACCTTTATTAAAGATTCCTAATTTAGCTATTCATCTAACAACTGATAGAAATAGCTTTGCTCCAAATAGTAATTATTTAATTAAAAGTTAGACGAATCAAATTTAAGGCCAGTTTTTGCATAAGAAGCCTATTAAACATTGACTGGAATTGAAAAACCAAAAACTGAGGGATAAACAAGTTTTGAAAATAAACACTATAAATATTTGCTTAATTTGATAACTGAATAGACAGGCATTCCAACATCTGACATCTTAGATATTGACTTATATTTTTCAGATTGTTAACCACCTTCTTATTTTGGATTAAATTAAGAGTTCATTTCTGCTGCAAGAATTGATAACCTATTTTCAAGTTTCTTCGCCCTTTTAGCAATTACAAATCCAGAAAGTTTTACAGAAGACCAAACATTTATTAATATGATTTGTCTCTATGATCATGAAGAAGTGGGGTCTTAAAGTGCTCAAGGAGCTGACTCTTCATTATTGTCTAATAATATGAAGAGAATATATGATATCCTATCTAATTCAACCTAAACTTCTACTGATAGTTTTTATAAAGCTATACAAAAGAGTTTCTTAATTTCTTCAGATATGGCTCATTCTATTCATCCAAATTATTCAGACAAGCACTAATAAAACCATAGAGTTAAGATGAATGAAGGAATTGTTATCAAAATCAATCACAATTAAAGATATGCTACGGATGGTGTCTCATCAGCAATCCTAAGAGTTGTGGCTTAATCTGCCGAAGTGCCAATCCAAGATTTCATTGTTAGGAACGATTCCCCTTGTGGCTCAACGATTGGACCATTATAAGGTTTAAAAATATTTTATTATTTTAGCCTCAAATACAGGTATTAAGACTATTGATATTGGAGCTGCATAATGGGGTATGCATTCCATCAGAGAAACCGCTGGAGTTGTTGATGGTTATTATTTGGAAAAACTCTTTGTTGAATTTTACAGAAAATATGAAAAAATAGATCATAAGTTGCTTGGTATTTGAGTATTATTATGATTATTGAAAAATTAAGAAATCCATATAATACATACACTCAAATCAAAGATAATCCTAAGCTATTATTCAAGATCTCATTCTACTCTTTTGCTCTACTTCTTTTATCACAGTTACCACCATTTGTATTATTCTTATATATTTAGGCTTGTGTTTGTTTGATCATTAGTTATTTAACCGGAAAAAAGTTCTTTGAGATTTACTTTCATAAACACTTAAAAGAAGGAATTATGGAGATGTTTCCTCAAGGCATTAGAGATGCTTTGATGAAGAGATCAATTTTTGATCTTCTTTGTGACATTTGGTTTATGCCCAAATTCTCATTGTATATTAGAGCATTCCTAAAGCCCTTTGTAGCCAATATTGATCCTGAAAATGTATTACATTCTCTCTTTATTATTTATAGGCTGAACAAGCCCTGGAAGGTCTACCCTTAGAAGACAGATAAATCATCACAAAAAAAGGAATAATTAATACTTTGCCCATGCTACTTTAAACTACGGTGGACACCACCTAACAATAGATTAATGACAGTGAAGTTCCTTAGACTCCTCATACTCCATCAAAGATTAAACAAAAGAAAACAAGATATGATAGAAAATAATATAATAGAACAAAATCTAAAAGAGTATTCAAAGAAGATAAAATTGTTTCCACCTTTAAGATGCCTTGGACTATTGTTAAAACATATGAAGAGGACAGAGCTTCTATTATGTCTTCACAATCAGATATTGATTTCTCAAATAAATAAAACTTTTCAATTGTAGAAGAAATGAAACCTCTACCATCACTTTAAGAAAATATTGGATTCAAAAATATAGAGCTGGTTCTTAAACCATAAACCAGTTAAGAATAGATCAAATGGGATAACCTAGATAATTTCTACAATTAAGTCAAAGACACTGTTCCAGGAAGTCATAAAAGTATATATTCAACATTAAATTCTTTAGGACCATTAGAAATGATATTGAAAATTACAAATCTAATTAATAATATAGTTCATTTTGAGAAAAGAAGCAAATAAATTTTGGCTATCAATAATAATGCTTTAATTAAGGCCTTCATAATTTCTGCAGTAAATTAATATCAATATAATAAGGCTGCTTTGGCATTTTAATCATACATTTCTACTAGGACAAGAAGATTGATGATGCAAACTATAATGATTATTTGTTATTTAGGAAGTGCAGGAATAGCTACAGGAACTCTAGGTCTGTGTGTTGTTAAATTTGTTAATCAAAACAAAAAAAAAAGAAATTGAATAGAATTTAATTATTTTATTATTATATTATTTTTGATGAGATAAAAAAATAAACATAACTTTTTATATGATCACTTAAAATTCTCATAATAAGTGAATTTTTCATATATGAATGTTAGGATTAGGATAAAATATCATTATAACTTAAAAATTTAAAAGAGAGAAACTTATTAAAATTAGATTTAAAAGTTATATTAAGTTAGTAAACTATATAACAATTATTTTAATTTTGAGATTACTTATTAATTTTTCTATTCATGAAATATCATTTTATTCTTTCATGTTTTCAAACTTCAAAAAGGTCTGTTCTAGGGAATGCACTTTTTTCTGCATTTCTCATTGGAAGGAACCAGTACTTAATATCAGGACCAAAGACCTCTTTATAGTTATCAATAATTCTAGGTTTTTTGAAAGGGTTCTAAGTGTATTTTCTATGTGTTATATACATTTGCTTTTATTTCATTAATGTGGTATTCAATAGTGGTAATGTTTTAAGCAATATGATATAAATGAAATCCCAAGAGAAATCCCATTACTAGTACTAAAGCAAAGCAAGAAACATTGCATATAGTTAAAATAAATTGCTAATTTTATGTGAGATCCTAGAAAATAGTTTAAATAAATTATACTTGTATTACAAACTTATCATTTACAAATAAATCATAAGAAATAAATAAAGTGCATTGGATCATGCACAAAATAGCATAGAAATTGAATTGACAAAAATACCTATGGTTTTTCAAGCCAACACAATTGTTCACCCAAGGACAATGATGATCCTAATTATTATAAATTTATTTACCATTCTTAATACGCATTTATTGCATTCTTTACAATGATGTGTTCTTGGTAATTTTATATTCTCACATTTAAAGCAGTATGAAACTAATTATAATACTTAAATAATATCGCTGGAACCATATTATAAAATTATTTTATTACAATTTCATCATCATTCTCAACATGAAATTCAATATGGTTTTACATTCTTCTTTATCTATGTTTATTAATTTTTTCAGTCATTTTTTTTGTTCTTTATTTGATATCTTCCAATGTTCTTTCATGATAATGTTTAGCCTATTTCTTTTGAAAAATAAATACTAAATCTTTTGGAGGATATCCTGGTTTGACATATTAAATCATAATGTAAGAGAAATTTAAGAAAATGAAAATTATTGTAAATTCTATTCCAATCAAATAAGAAACATGACCATGCTAATTTTAAGGAAAAACAAATTACTTTATTAAGGAATGCAGGTAGGAAGATAAATACAAAAGCATAATATTCACTGAAAATAATTCCATAAACAAGTATAACAGCTATGAAATCAGAATGTTAATGCTATCCTTAAAGCATAAATTATTAAGTTTTTATATAATATTAAAAATTATATATTTTCCATTTGCAATAATAGATTTTTCTATATAAATAAATCATGTTATTACTGGAGAATGAAGGATGAACATTTGAATTGTAAGTTGAATTTTAGTAAATTTCATATTTTTTGTAAAATGGAAATTAAAAAGAATAATAGGAAATTGAATAGGATAAAATTATGAATTAGAATATATCTTTGTTAAAAGTAATGATATTGTATATATATTTATTATTTTTTATTTGAAAAATAATGGAGCCAGAGCAATTGATAGATTAATTAAATGATATATTGTTGGCAGACCATTTTAGGTTTATAGAAGTAATTGGGAAGGGAAGCTTTGGAGTAGTGGTGGCTGCGTTTTGTAGTAATTTAGATCGAGTAGTGGCAATAAAAGTTAATTTGATGTTAGAATATTATAGATTACATCAAATGTTGATTAAGAGAATGAAGCCAATTTGCTTAAAGCTTGTTGTCATTAGAATATTGTCAAGCTTTATAAAGTACAATAATAATTTTTTATTATAGGTGTTAATAGCTAATAATCATCTTTATCTCATTATGGAAAGATTAATTGGTTTGACACTAGACAAACTGATGAAACAATCTATATTATCAGAATAAAACATTAGAAATTATATGACTTAAATTTTAAATGCTTTAGTATTTCTTCATAGAAAGAATATTATACATAGAGATCTCAAACCAGGTTAAACTAAATAATATTATAGAAAATATATTTATTTGTGAAAATACATGCGTTAAATTAATAGATTTAGGTTTAGGACAAGAAATTGTTTGTAAAGGATGTGTTTATTAATCAGTTGGTACTCCATATTTTATAGCTCCTGAAGTTATTTTAGGAAAGGATTAAAGTCAGGTATGTAATTCTCTTATTTAATTTAGGCTGTTGACATATTTAGTTTAGGTATTATCTTCTATATGATGATCAACAATTTATAACATCCGTTATGGGATGGATAAATGAGAAAAAGACATTATTACTAATTGATATCTAATGAATTTTAAATTTCTTTTCCAAAAACAATGCCTGAGTAATCCATAAAAATCATATATTTAGAATGGCTAAAGATTTTGTCTTAAATACAGTATAATTTAGGGCAGAAAATAGAATGACAGCATAGTAATGTTTAGAACATCCTTGGATTAAAGGAAAAGGTGTTAAAACACATCCTATGACTACAAGAGAGATCATGTTAAGATACAATATTTAATAAAAGCTATAACATGTCTTTTTATTGTTTATTATTATTAGATAATTAAATCATTGATGTTTTTAAAGACTCTTCAATAAACATGTGAAGAAGAGATCTGCTATATCAAAACAAACAATTCTCCTTTAAGAGAAGAAAAGGAATAAGATCTTGAAAATGCTAGATTAAGTGTTGAATTAACAAATAAAAAATAAAAGTCATTCAAATTAAATGTAATTCCTTTAAAAAAAGTAAGTTCATATAAAGATTTAGTATCTTTGAGGGAAAAATAACTAAATCAAAAGAAATATTAAAGTATAAACATTTATTTTAATTAGATATGATAACAAGGTTTAGAGAAAAATTGTCTTTGGGTAATCAACTAAATGCCATTGGGCATCATAAGTTTGATTCTCCAATGAGTCATCGAAAATTAACTACTTTACCTTCAATTAATACTAATAGGTTATAAAGATAATCAACTTTTAATTTTTAAAATTTGTGAAGTGCTTTTTTTTAAATTATCAATAAGAAATCAATTTTACTTTAATCTATTCATAATTTCATCTGCCTCTTATGCTTTAGTTTCATCATAAGGAATATAATAATTAGATAATCTTGATTAAGGATTACTAATTGGTTTATTTTATTCTCTAAAGATATTCATAGATTTAATGATCTCTTCATTATCCATCTCAATCTATATAATCATTTTCTTAATATCATTATTTATAAAGAATAATTCAGTATTATCTTATTTCAGCAATTTAAAATTTGCTTACATCTTTGCATTTTCTAATTTCAATTTATCTATTTATTATTATAATTCAGTATGTTTATGATTATCAACTCGTAAATTTAAATTAGAAATTTCAGTGATTAAATTATCCACATTATTTCTAACTATTTAATATTACTAATACACTTCCTACGGTTATTATTATTCTTAATTTGTTTATGATATTGTTTTTATAGCTGATTTCATTTATATAGATGATTCTTCTTTCTTATTTTATTAGAATGACTGATTCTAACTTTAATCATCTTTTATTCTAGGAACTTTTGAAATTATTTCTTTGAATTACTCATCTGAATTGTAAATTTTTTCATTTTGAATTAATACCTTACTAATATTCAATTTTAAAGTGTCCAATTTGTCTTTCTCATTCAAAGTTAATTAATTTCCTTCCTCTAATCTATTTATTATTAGTTCTAATTATTTTCCATCCTATTCCAATCGTTATTTATTCTTATCAATCATTTATACTATTGTTGTTGATTTTCCTTTATCCAAACACATTTTAAGTATTTCAATTTCTGCTCTAAGCTACAATTTCAATTTGTTTAGAGATTATAGCATTTATTCAAAAATCAATTAATTTATAACAATAATTTATACTCTCTATCATTGTTTTATATGATTTCCAACATTTTATTTTGCCAAAGCTAACTCTTTTGATAGGACTTGTTCTTCTCTCAAAATCTTAATCAAATTTGAAAACCCTCTCTTTGTAATAACACTCCCACAAACTAAACCTATGGACACCATTAATAAAGTCACACTCCCATCCATTAATTCCTTGACTTTTCTATTTGATCTCAAATTGGAAGATTGCAACTTAAACTTTATTATGTCATTAAAAAATAATAAGCTCTATAATCCAAAAGAGAACCCAAAACAAATTGTAGCCATCCTTGGAAATATTAATGAAAATGGTAATGCAAATGGATACAAATAATACAAATTTGGTACTGTACATGAATGCTTAAACTCTTACAATCTGATATTTATATTAAATGTACTTATAGAGTGTTTTAAATTAAACATATTATTTAATATCCCTAGCATCTATTTCTGAATTTAACATATTCATATCCTTATTACCTATGATTTTCATTTCATTTTTGATTTAATCATTTATTTGTTTACCTGTTTTTGAATAATCAAAATATAAACTAAACATTTGTTATTCAAAACCCATCATTCCTAAATACAAAATAGGCATTAAAGTATTTTAATTCATTTTATTTTTATTATTTATTCTTAATTAAAGAAAACACATATATAATCAAAAAGTAATATTATTATGATCTAATTAGTTATCTCTAGATAATAAATAATGAATGATTTATATTAGTATAATATTTCTATAATATATACATGAAGTATATAAATAATAATAATATAAACTTAAAACTAATTTGAATGTCTATAATTATTCAGATACATCAAAGTTACTTTATATCCACAAAGATAAATAAATTTATAATTTAAATAATGTTTATTTTTAGGACATAGATTATATGATTTGTTATGATTCTTCCAACTGAAATAGTTATATAATTTTAGTAAAGTCTTAGTGGGTTAAGGAATTATGATTTACAATGTATTTCCATTATAATAATACTAAAATTGATGACTTGCACTTGAACATAGTTATTTTAATTCAACCCTACATGCTCTAACATAAATATTAAGATCCTTAATCAAAATATAACACTCCTGAGTGTGAACCCAAAGTAATACTATGATTATGATCTATTGCCATGGTTAACTGTTTGACTAATTGAATTATATGGGTATTCTTAGCCGATTTGTTCTAATAATCACGAATCGTACTTAGATAAGTAATAATGTTAGATGAACTTATTAACCTATTAAATCTGTCATGAACTAATTCAGCTACAATTTTTGCATATGAATCCTCTTTTTTTAATAACTATTTATTTAATAGAATTTTTATATTGATTAAGAAGTTTGAGAGAGTGTTAAAAATAAAAATCAATTAATTGATTTATATGCTTAGTTTCTATCAAATTTTCTAAATAAAGTTCAGAAATCTAATTAAAGCCTAATTGTATTTCTACATCTGACTTTATGTAATTATGATCTTTCAATGAATACAGCATTAAAACTATAAAAATTAAATTGTATAATTGCTTATTATTTATGATTTTGTTTAACTATTTGATTATATTTATTTAAATAATTATGCTTTTTTTTAACTATCATTCTTTGATTATATAGAAAGACTAATTGACTCATCATATACATTAATATGTTTTGTGACTATTTATTCTTATTTTATTTTGATTATTAAATATAGAAATACTTGAAATCATTGCTCACATAAGTTTCTTATTATTTACATTTACTTATATAATTATTGTTATTATTATATAGTATATATATATATATTATCAATTATTTCACTTTTAATTCATTGGATAATGCATTAAATCAATAAAATTGACAATAATGGTTTGATTAATTGATATTAATTGATATAAGCTATTTAATTTTTTCCTTATTTTTGATTGGCCGATTAGAAATGAAAAAAGATTAATTGGGATTTATATTTGTAATAAGGCGGGTTTGAAACATTATTAAATAAATCAAAAATCAAATGTCATCAGGAGGAAAAGGAAAAGCAGGAAAGGGAGGCAAAGCAGCTGGAGCTCATAAATCAGTTTCCAGATCACACAAAGCTGGTTTATAATTCCCAGTCGGAAGAGTTTCAAGATATTTGAAATAAGGAAGATACACAGAAAGAGTTGGTGCTGGAGCTCCAGTTTATCTTTCAGCTGTTTTGGAATATTTGGCTGCTGAAGTTTTAGAACTTGCTGGAAATGCTGCTAAAGATAACAAGAAAAATAGAATTAATCCAAGACACATTCTTTTAGCTATTAGAAACGATGATGAATTAAACAAATTAATGGCCAACACAACTATTGCTGATGGTGGTGTTTTACCAAGCATTCATCCATAATTATATCCATCAAAAGAAGATCCAAGTTAAGCAGTTTGAAAATGTTTAATTTGTTTTACAATTAACATATACAAATTTATTTTAATAATTCTAGACTCTAATGTATTGATCAAATAAATAAATGAACTTGAATATTGATAAATCAATTCTTTTTTGATGTATGTGCAATTTTTACAGATTTTTATGCTGCATCATCTAAATCTGTTGCAGTTGTAATTGATACTTTAGTTTATGATTTGGCAAATTCATCTAACATCTTGGCGCCTTTTAATTATTATTAATTTATTACCTTATTATGAATTTGTTCCTGTTAATCTTACTACTAAAGGTGTCTTTAAATCAACCAATTAAGCTGCTTTAATAATACCTTCAGCAATAATGTTGCATTTCATAATACCACCAAATATATTAATAAGAATTGTTTCAACTTTTGGATGTGAATTCAATATTTCAAATGCTGTCTTTACTTATTCTACATTTGCACCACCTCCTACATCTAAGAAATTTGCAGGTTCTCCACCATATAATTTTATTATATCCATTGTAGCCATTGCCAAACCAGCTCCATTAACCATACAACCAATATTTCCATCTAATGCAACATAATTCAATCCTGCTGCTAATGCTAATTCTTCATGAGGATCAACTTATTCTGATGCAACTGATGTTTTTCTTAATTCAACCAATTCCTTTTATCTAAATTTAGCATTGTCATCAACATTAATTTTAGCATCAATACAGAATAATTGATTTTTTGGATCTGTTGCCCATGGATTGATTTCTACTTAAGTAGCATCCAATGAAATAAACATCTTATAAAGATTTCTCAATTATTCAATTGCTTATTATCTAACAGATTATAATTAAAGAGTGTCAACAACTTTATTAGCAATTTAATCAGTCAATCCTGTGTTTACATCAATTGGTAACACAATAATACTATTTGGATCTGTCTTTGCTACTTCTTCAATTTCCATTCCACCATTAATTGAAGCAACAATAGCTGGCTTTTATGAATTTCTATCCAATATAAATGCTAAATATAATTGACGTACTATATCCACACCTTCATGTACAAGTACTGCATTCACTTATAATCCCTATATTATTATATATTAATAAATACTTCTTTTGGTGTCTAATGTGTTACCAATTTATATCCAATCATTTATTTTGTATAGTTGGCTACTTCTTCTGGAGTTTTGCAGATTTTTACTCCTCCCTTCAAACCACTTGATAAAGTTCCTTAAATTAATCTTTATTCATACCTTTTCCTCTTCCACCAGCATGAACTTATGATTTAAGAATCAAACCACCACTTGGATCTAATGTTTTTGCTACTTTGGCAGCTTCATCAGCATTCAATGCGATTGCTCCTTTTTACACTCTGACATTGAATCCTCTCATCAAGTCTTTACTTTGGTATTCATGAAGATCAAAACATTTAACAACTTTGTGTTACAATGCAGCCAACCTTGTAATACGATTGAACATTTATTTTAAATCTTTTTATTTAATCAAAGCACAATAACTAATCACTTAATATAAACTATTTTTAGGATTCATTAAAGTAACCTCTATATATTCTTCTCTTAGGAATCAGATAAATCTATAATAAATAATAACAAAAGAAAAATGTATAATCAAAGAAAACTATTTTTATGTCATTTCCTAATATAATTTGATCTTAAACTCTATTATTATATTGGATTCTTGAAGTTAAAGTAAACTGATTTGAAATGTAGTAAATTATATTTTACTTCTAGATCTTGATTTTCTCTTTCCATTAATTATTATTCAGCTTTTAAAGTCATTCCTGGATCATGTTCAATGATACCTTCAAAAGTAGAAATCCTAGCTATTTAATTATTATGTTGCTGTATTTTTTTGTCTTCATGCATATCACTAATAGAGTATCCAACTCCTATACTAAAGACACTTCCTTAATTAGTAATTGCACTAAATTGCATTGCACTACTTCCAAGATCTGAAGATCCTACTAATTCATCCTAAGCACAAAAGGTTTTTAAATTTTAAGGAACTAAATTTTCACCCAAAAATCCTCTAAAATTTATATTATTATTTAAATTACCTTCTAATTGTACAACAACTTTTATATTTTGAATTTTAATTGCTTTTTGATCTTTTATTGCTTTTCTACTTATGGGATTTGCTTTTTTAATTAGTCCAATCAAGTCCTTAATCTGGAAAGTTATGTAATTTTGTTAGAAACAATCCTCTCAACATTGCATATTATGGCTTTTATTATTAAGACAATAATTTTACATATTTCATATACCTAAGATTTTTTAATTGAGAATTACTTTAATATAGAATTTGGACATTCTGAACATAATTCTTCAATTGTAGTTTCTGATTTTAATTTTCCTATTTTTTCCAATCTTTATATATCATTTTTTTCAATATTCATCCAAGGCAAACTCTATTTCATTAAATATATTAATATATAGCCTAATGATTCTAAATCATCCTTTGCAGATTATTCAATTCCTTAATGAGCAGCTAAACTTGCATATCTACTAGTGCCAATAAAGGAAAATTTCTTTTTCTAATTTACTTTTAAATTGATATTTCTAGATATTCCATAATCGATAAGATAGATCTTATCACTATCAGTTTTACTTAAAATATTTTCTGGTTTCAAATCTCTATGTATTATATTTCTAAAAATTAATTAATTTAATCACCTTTAATGTATTTGTTCCAAAATCCACAGCATTTAAAAGGCAATGTTGTAAATACATTATGTTGAGAACTTCTAATATTGTTTTTAAAAATATATTAGGTCATGCCCTAGCAAATTGGTTATCATGACGTTGCATTTGTTGAATTGACCATACCAATACAATTCAGGAATCTATGAAACTCCTTACAGTAATTTCAATATTTCAATCTAATTTCACAAATTATTTTACTTCTCTATTTAGACTACTATAACTTGCCATTTCTTGTTTTTCTATCTTTATTGCGACATTTTTGTTTGTCTTCATACATTTTCCAACATAAACTATTCCAAATGAACCTTATGATATTTTTTTTATTAATTCATATTGATTATCAATAACATCTCCTTATTAAATTTAGTTCATTAATTTATTAATGGAAAGACTTGATGATGTATTTTTATAATCAATATTTTTATATAAATTAAATTAAGATGAACTTTATTTAACTTCTTTAATCATTACTACTTTAGTTTATTGAATAATTTTATTTTTATAAGATAAAAATATTTGATATATATTCATGATTTAATTTTAGTGATATTAATAGGAATATAATGAATTAAAATAATTAAAATTACTGAATTACATTTTATAATATTATAATTAACAATTCAAGAATAATCAAAGTTGTGTGGAGTATTAAGATAATATTCAATTTTTAATATTAAATTTATTAAAATAAGATAGAATGGTTGATCAATTTATTATAGATTAGATAATTGCAAATATAAAGAGGAAGGTGTTTAAGTGAAAATTAAACTTCAATTAATTGTCTAAAATGGTGAATGTAAAGTAATTAAAATTTTAGTATATAGATTGAGATTGCAAAATAAGAATATTTAAGATTTTAAATAAAATAAAAAAAAATAAATATCTATGGAAGTTGAAATCAAGTATAAATTTAATATTTTTAATTGGATTTTTGTTAGAATATTCAAAGTAGTAATATAAATCTATGAATATATCCCCATATTATGTAAAAGATATATATTCTATCGAGAGAAAATGTATAAGAAGCTTTTATTGCAGCAAAGGATTGATATCTATATAATTTATTTTGATTATTTATTTAGAATTAAATAGAAAGTAAAATTTGTGGAAAAAGCTTAACTTTTAGAAATGATTAATAGTAGTTTATTTAAAGTTAGCCTTATAATCAAATTATTTATCAAACTTACTTAAAAATATAAGAAAAGAATCATTAAATAAAATAGGAATAATTAAGAATTATTGTTATCAAATGGAAAGATTTTAATATAAATTATATTTTAATTTAATAAATTTTATTAGAATTAATAATTATCTAATTTTAATAGAATTTATGAAGTTTAAAACATCATTCTTCTAAAAAAAATAAATTTATTTTTATCAAATAATTTTATGTTTTCACGATATTTAATTCTCTACCTTGTATTATCAACTATGATAATCGAGGTATAAGGTGGATAAACTGCGTTATCTACTTGTTTTGGTAAATTAATTCCAGCTGTGTTGAAATGTTTTGGGAGCAAAGTAATTGGACTTAATATGAACAAAGTGAAGCACATAATGAACTCGAAACATCTCCTTGATAAATTAGATCCAGCTGATGTAATTTATGATGTGGTTAATGTTGTTGCTTCTAATATTCCTTAAAAAAAATTTATTGATATTCTCCTTACTTCTGGTTTGATAATTAGAATCACTGTTAATTTATTAGTTAGCGGTGAGGTTGGGATTGGAACTGGATACGTAATCGAAAAAATTGCAGATGCTATTGAAAAACAGTGCTGATAAATTATTAATAACAAAATTATATAAACTTCATTAACAATCTAGAATATTTCTTCTTAACAACTTTCAAGTCAAAATGAAAATTCTTTTGGATTTTTTAGACTTCATTAATCAAGTTTTAAACTTATAAATGCAAGAGTTGATTAACTTTTCTATTAAATCTGATTCTGGATTTCCAAAAATCTTGAATCAGATTAATTTTTTAAATAAGAATTATAAATAAAATTAAAATCAAATTAACATCGTTATTCCACTTTTATGATCTCTACAGAGTGATAATCAACTTTAAACCTCATTTTATTTGCAAAAATAAGTTTATTATAATCCATGAATTTCTTATTTATTTATTTAATCAATTAAATATAAATTATTTATATCCAATCCATAAATAGGATAATAAATATCAATTATTTTTCCATTCAATATTTATAGTGATTTATAATCAAATATTTTTTGATTATATTAGCTTACTAAATTTATTTATTTTATTTTCAAAATGATAATTAAACAATTTAGTTAATATAAATTATGTTCAATAAAATTGGGATCTTACCTTTATGATTTAGAGTATTTTTTATATCTATTGATCTGTTAGTTATTATTTTAATATTTAAAATTGTAGTGGAATATTATTGATTTAAAATTTACTGATATTTTCACCTTTTGAAATTAATTTCTAATAGTTACTTTTGTAATGAAAAATAATTTAATGGATTGTAGTCTAAACAAAGCTATTTTGGCTATGTCTCAAAGAAATATTCATCTATAATAAAAATTAGTATATATATATTCTTTATCTAATATTTCACTCAAACAATGAAAAATACAATATAACTAAAAAATCAATAATAAAAATGGGAGAAGTAAAGATATATAAATCTCTAATATTATTGGATGTATTTACATGAATAAAGATTGATAGTATATAGTCTCAGTATAAGAATATTTTAATATAATATTAATATTTTCATCAAATTTGGGCAATGAAATCAATCCTATTGAGTTTGCACTTTCACACTTTTTCAATCTAATTCTTTAAAATTTAATCGTTTGCGCTAATATATTGTACCGATAAATCAATCATATATAAATCAAAAAATTAATCATAGTTTATTATTGCAAGGATGTTTAATAATTAAATGACGACAAAATTTAATTATTATCTAAATGCTTTAGTCTTGTTCTTTCATACTAACCTTTGGGTTTCTCATATTCCCTACTTACTTAGTTTTTATCAAGATTACAAGCTTGAAGATACTCTAAATTTTTGTTAATTATTTCAAAAACGAATATTGTTAATTCAAAATTCATTTCTTAGATCGAACTTATAACTTCAGTTAGTTCTCTAATACTCTGTTTATTGATGAATAAAAGTTAAAGTAATTTTACATGAAGAGATAATATTAATATATTGATCAAGAGTATTATCTTTATACAAATGAATTCTATGCATCTACTTTATTCTAAACATTGATTAAACTTGGTGTAGCAGAATGAGCTCTCCTTTAAACTATAGGATTCTTTTAAATTTTGTATTTTTCTAAACAAAATTGATTAAAAAGTTCTCTTTCAACCTCATCTCCCTCAATTTGTTTCGAAGTTATTTGAGAAGGTAACTATAGAGATTGAAATTTGTCAGTTTTTTTCTTAGATGTCAATGAACAACCCATTTTAAAAATAATTAATTAGATTGAATCATCGTGTTTAATATTACAAAAATTAACAAACATGAAGTTTTAAATTATATCTACTAATTATGCTGATATTTGTTATTCATATAATCTCAATCCTCAATAAATCATTCATTATAATCTCTCCTACTCTTCTATCTTAATAAAATTTGTTTATTTTAAACTAATCATGAATATAATCTAATCTTTAATTTAGAAACAGATTAATTTTATGCAAATTTTTATTTATTTCTAATAGTTTATAAATTTAACTTCCATATTAGTGTATTCAAACTCATATAATCAAAGATTATTTCAATAATTAATCAAATTTTTTAAGATGTATGTAAATTACAAAAAGCTTTAACATTATTTTTTATAAAGATGATTAAGTAAAATTAGTATTAATTTTACTTTAGATATTTATTTCTATATTCAAAATAATTCCTATTTCTTTTAGGTTGAGTCATTGACATTAATTAATCATTAGAATTTTTCAAAAAATCAAAAAGAAAATTGTATACTCATAATAACATCTTATATAAAATTATATTAAAAATTTAATAAATATTATAATATTTATTGGAATATAATTATCATTTCTAAATTTTTTGACTTTCTAAGTGATGGTCAATATTTAAGTCTTTCAACAAAGGTCTCATTGCTTCACTAGATAAAATTTCTATCATTAAGTAAATTAGATAAAGTAAATTAGAATTGGGTGAGTTATAGAGCCCTAACTCTTTTGACAATAGTTGGGATAGCTAATTTTATAAATCTTTAGTTATTTCTTCAAGATTCTATTTTATTTCTTTTTCGTTTACTTCTTTTTTTTCTTATTATATAGGTTAAGACTAGTTTGTTATTGCTGTTTTCAAATATTCATATTCAATCTTTTTCTTTGTCTCAATCTCACCTATGTTTTTACAAACTTTTATAAATTCACTTTCATTTTAAAATCCTTTTAATTCAACATTTTCAAGTAACCTAATGTTACATAAAATCATATTACTCAAAATTGACTCTAAAAAATATCATTTTGAGAGATCTTTTTGTACTATCATCTAATGCTTTCAAGTTTTTATTATACTCTTAATCTATTAAATTGCCAGACAGATACTAAATACTTTTTGCATTATTTTTATAATTCTTATCTTGATTTTGAATTTTTTGATTAGGTATTATAACTTCAAATTCTTCTAGAAACAATTACCAATCAGATAATAGTAATTTGTAATTACCTACCTAATTTTAATCTCTAGAAATTAATATATTATTTCCTTTCACTATAACCATTTTCTAAAATATCTTTGCTGACAACTTTTAATCTGAAGAAGTATTTTATTCCTTTTCTAATTAACTTTTTTGAACTAGAGAAATAATTTGAATGGCTTAGTAAGCAAAATTTATTCTTTCTGCTAATTATTTAGATGGATGATGACTATTTATGAATATTTAATAAATACCTAAAAGTATAAATATTAAATTATTCTAGTTTAGTAATAATATAACAATTACAATATTCTGGTTCATTTTTTATTTCTTCTATCTTATAATAAAAATATTTTTAACAGTATAATGCTAGAGTTATATCTTTATTTTAGCCATTCTATTATATTTCAAAAGCTTCTTTAATTTTTTCTATCCATTTATGAATATATGCTTTCTTAGCCATTGGTATTAATTTTACACAACAGTATTTGCCCTATATTTTACCAAGATAAGTGCAAATAGGTACTTTTTATTTCTGAATTAATCTCACTAAAGTGATATTCTCATTATATTCTTGAAATTATGTAACTTTAGAGAAATCGTATTTATCTTCATCCTCAATATCACAAATATTTCTATTTGCTATCTTAGGTCCACTATATGGTTTTTCTGAATAATCTTTTAATTTATATTAATCTTGCTTAAAGCAAGCGCTTAATTGATCTTCTATTTCCTTCTTATTTTTCTAAAAGGCTTCTTCTGTTTCTATAATAGTTTTTAATGCTTAATCAAACTATTCTATGTCTGTATCTGGCTATGAAATATTCTCTACTTTCTAAACCTCAATTGGTTTTTCTTCTTCTTTTACTTTATCAATTTCTACTATTTCAGGTGGTAAGAAGCTCTCTTCTTTTTTAGGTAATTCTATTTTAGGTTCTTCTTTTATAGGCTCTACTTTTTTAGGTTCTTCTTTTATAGGTTCTGGTTCTGGTTTGGGTTACATTACTAGAACTGGTTTTTATGTTTCTTTAGGTGGAGGTTAAGGAGGATTTTACTTTTGTTTTGAGCATCCACAACATTTACATGAACATATAGCACCCATAAATTTATTATTAAATAACTTTTATTTGCTCGATATAAAGTTTATAAATTTAAGTATTTGATATATTAAAATTAGCAATAGAAATTAATTTTTTTTAAGTGTTTCAAAAGAAACTCTTATATGTATTGGGATTTTAATAAATTAGGAGACATAATTTATTAAAGAGGTTGGAAGATCTATCAAAAATATCATGAGACACTTGATAGCAATTATTTATAACAGTCATTAAAACTTAAGAGCAAATATGATATTTGAAGCATTCTATTATTAATTTAAGAATACTAATATAAAAATTGGAAAGTGAGATTAACTATTAGAAAGTTATTTAACATAAAAAATAATTAGTACTTTAATTTTATTATTATGATTTTCAAATAGAGGAACTATTTTACTTCTTTATATTAGGATAGAAATTCCAGTAGATCAAATTTAAAAATTTCTCTATAATAATAGTACAATAATTACAATACAAAATATATATTAATTATTTTTTTTAATCAATTTAAATCATTTTTTCTAAAAGAGGAAATATTTCATGTTCAAAAAACTAAATATGAAATAAGAAAGTTATGATGTTTAACAAAAACTTTCAAATCATAAAAGGATAATTTTGTATTTCAATCTTACAGATAGTTATGAATCTTTAACAGATTTAAAAAACTTATTTAATATAAATTTTAATTAGGAAAATTAGATATAATTCGAATTCGAGTTAAAATAAGAGTCTTATGAAATAGAATCTATATCTTTATATTATTTTTAAGGATTTATTAAAGAAAATTCAAATGATAAAATAGATATATGTAAATTAACAAATATTCGGATTAATTTACTCAAACTTGCATAATAATTTAGAAAATGTAATATTAAGATTATTCTTCAATATAATCATTTTCAAATATTCGAAAAATAATACTATATTGAAAAACATATTAATTAGTTATTTGATGGCTTTTTAACTGAATAAAAGGAGGTAATATTACTTTCAAGAGATGTAAGAACTTATTAAATTATTTGTTATTTAAAACAACCAATTTTTTTAGATTATTTTAAATCAGATGTTAAAGAGTATATTTTATCAAATAAAGATTATATATAGAGAGATAGTTTAATTTTTACATGTAAAGAATTTAATGAAGAATTTATTTATCAATTACATTCAGCAAAAGGGTTTTTTTAATTTGAATATAATGATTTTTGTTCTATTGGGGTAGAATGCTATTTGTACTTAAGAGATGAATTAGAAGTACTTTCATTTTTAATACTTAAAGATATAAGAATGCTTTAATTTAATATATATGTATTACTTGAATTGCCGATTAATTTAAAAAATGAAAAAAATTAAGATGAAAATGTTAAACAATTTCTAAAATTATTATATTCTCTTATGATTAGATTTCTATAAATAATTAATAAAGAATAATTCTGCATATAAATTTTTGTTTAAGAAATCCGCTAAGCTATTTTATATTGGGAACCTCGTATTTTAAACCATTTAAAATATTTGGCATAATAAAATCCAAGTTGTATTTCATTTAGTAAAAAAGAAAAAATTTTTCTATTTAATGATAAACAAATAATTGAATGGTATCAATCAAAACTATTAGTTTTTCAAGATTTTACTCAAGAAACTCTAAACAGCTTTATATAAAAGGAATTGGAAATGATTTCTTTGTAATGTTCTTTAGAGATTAAGTACTTTGATATTCATCTTCCATCTAAATATAAATTGTTTTAAGAAATAACTAATTTTTCCAATATATAAGAAAACATCAAGAAACCTAATATCTGCTTGTTAGGTTTAACAAAAACTGGTAAAAGTACATTATTGAATATCTTGATGAATCCTAAAAATATTGATATTATTAAAAATGGTTAAAATAAATATTTCTCTATAATTAATAAAGCTAATGATATTATAATATCATAATCATGCAAAAGTTAAACTAAATAAACATAGGATAGAGAAATTAATGATTTTATATTTACAGATACACCAGGATTTTATGATACGAATAGTGAAAATAGATTGATTAATTAAATTAAAATCTTTACATAATTACAAAGATCGCCATAAATAATCTTTTTGATTTTAATTGATGGATAAAAATTGTGTGAAAATATTAATGATCTCTACTCTACTATTGAACATATCAATTTATTCTTTGGTGATAAGCTAATTGAATCTTAATTGGAAAAATTCATTATACCTGTTTTTAATAAATTAGGTTTAAATACAATGGACTAGATAAAAAATATATTGGAAAAAGAAATTGAGTCAGATTACTCTAACTCTTAACTATATCATTTCTTAAAAGCTATAAAAAATACTATTGATAATAATGGATATATTGAATTATTAAATGCATCCTACTTTATGAATAAATAAGAAATAAAAAATTTAAAAAAATAAATATAAGAAACATAAAATAAAATATCCAACTTATTAAGAGATAATAATATCACTTCTAAAGAGATAAGCTAATTAAATGAAAGAGTAACTTTATTATAAAATGAAATTGATATTAAAGGAAATCAAATTAACTATGATTTACTAGAGAAGATTTAATAATAAATTTTAAACTAATGTAAAAACTTATCGTAAGAACAGACTTAATAAAAATTTAAAATAGAATTTACTTTGTCATTAAATGCAGAAATGAAAGAACATTATAATACTATATTACAATATTAAGATGAAATATGTACATTCCTTTTAAGATTAATCACTGAGGTGATAATTAATAATCTTTTAAATGATCATTCTAGAAATTTAGATTAAGTAACTGATCTATGTTCTTAAATATAAAATATTATACAAGACTTTAAATCGAATGAAAACATAAGCATTTACGAATTTTTCATTTCCTTGAGCTAGAAATTTCTTAATCTTTTTCAAAACCAAATATTGATTCAGGATTTAATTAAGAAATTGAATTCTATTTATAACATCTCTAAATTCATTCTAAATGGATAAGCTGTAAAGAAAATATCTTCTTAGTACTTGGAAAATGAATTGGATCTAGTAAGAAGAAGCTGTATTAATTTGCATAATAATCAGAATTTAAAAAAATTTTACACAATTAAGAGATTTAAAGAGTTCTAAATATTTTTATTAAAGTTAATATAATTAGACAAAAGAGCAGAAAAGTTAAAGCAATCTACAAAATAATAATATGAAAGACTCAAGATGGAAATTTTAAAAATTGAGTATGATGAAATAAAAAAATCTTAAAAATGATTGATAATTTTTATGTTTAAAATTGTCTAGACATAAAAATAACCATTAAACTTCTTTATAATATTATTATTAAATTTAAAATTACTTTTAATTAATCTAAATAAATATCTTTGTTTTTAATATTTAAGGTCATAAGATAATTTTAATTTCTAAGATGTACATAAATAAATTAAAAATAAAATGAAATATATAGAAGAGTAATTAATCATTTTTTTTTCTAATAATTATTAATATTGTTATCAAAATTAAGTTAGTTATTTAATTCATCATTTTTTTTAGTTTATATCTGATGATTTCTATAATATTATTAATAAAAAGTATTCTGGTTAAATAATTAATAATTATATAATTATAAAATAATTCAAATTTCAAAGTGATGCAGCCATCTAAATAACAATAATAGTTATCAGTTTAAGCATAAAAAGAAAGAGGTAATAGAATGAGATGATTGTTAGATCGATTAAAAGCTTAAAGAGAGGGTTAATTAAATAAAAAAGAATAGGCTCTAAACAAATTAAGCGATGATGAAGTAATAGCTTAATTAAAGGCAAAAGGATTAGGAGTATATGGAACAAAATAAGAGAAATTAGATAGATTAAAGAAAGCAAATGGTATATTTATTAATGTATAAAAAGGGATTGAAATTGTTAATAATAATAAGCCAGAATAAGTTCCTTAATAATAATAATAAGCATAATAAGTAGTTGTTTAATAATAAGCATAATAATAAAAAGGATCAGTTGTTGATAATATCAAAAAGATGGAATAATAAAGAGAAGAACGTCGTAAAAATATGTAAGAAATGAAAAGAGAGAAGGCAGAAAGAGAAGAATAGAATTAAATATTAGGTAAAAATGTTGATGTAGAATTTGAAATTATGATTGATAAAACGAGACTCAAAGGAGGATTAATATAAGAACATTAGACTACATAAAATATCAAATTATGTGTATGTGTTAGGAAAAGACCTATCTTTAAAAAGGAGGAAGTTGGAGGTGAAATAGATGCTATAAGTTGTGCAAATCCTATGATAAGAGTGCATGAACCTAAATTAAAAGTAGATGGCATTACTAAATATGTAGAAAATCATGATTTCTAATTTGATAATACTTTTAGTGAAGTAGAATAAGGCAAAGATATTTATGATGTTAGTTTAGCTCCATTGATGGATTTATTGGTAAATTAAGGAGTTGTAACTTGTTTTGCTTATGGACAAACAGGTTCTGGTAAAACTTATACAATGAAAAGCATTTAAGAATTATTAGCTACTGATTTATATAAGTTAATAAGTACAACTCCATCTTATAAGATATTTGTATCATTTTTTGAGATTTATGGTGGAAAATGTTATGATTTATTAAATGGTAAGGCACCATTATAAATAATGGAAGATAAGAATAATAATATATAGATACAAGGATTAGTTGAAAAACCAAGTGAATCAGAACATGAATTATTCTAATTAATGGAATTAGCTAATTCAGTTAGAACAACTCATGCAACTGTTGCAAATGATACATCATCTAGATCTCATTCAATTTGTTAAATTGCAATAAGACAAGGTTATTCTGATATTGGCAAATTAATATTGGTTGATTTGGCAGGATCAGAAAGAGCATAAGATACATAATCAAATAATAGATAAAGAAGATTGGAAGGAGCTGAAATCAATAAAAGTTTATTAGCATTAAAAGAATGCATTAGAGCTATGGATTCAGGATAAGGACATGTTCCTTTTAGAGCATCTAAACTTACTTTGGTATTGAGAGATTCATTTACTGCAAAATCTAACAAATCTAGAATTATTATGATTGCTTGTATTAGTCCTGGAAGTTCATCTGCTGATCATTCATTGAATACTTTAAGATATGCTGATAGATTAAAAGATAAATCAAATTAAGCTAAAATATAATTAGAAGAAAGAGAAGTTACAAATGAAGAATTATTATATAGATAATAATAAGGATAAGATAGATAATCAGATAAAAATTTAGATAATAATAATAATAAATAAGTAGATAAATAGAATACTCCTTTATAATTACCAAAAATTAATGATCCAAGAAATTAAAATAATTAGAATGCTGCTAATCTTAAAAAGAATTAATCATAAATACCAGATAAAGAAAAACCAAAATCTTAACCTGTACCACAAAAATAATAGAAAAGAGTCAGTTCAATTTAAGAAGACTCAGATGATGATGTTGCAGCTGAAGAATTAGTTAATAAAAAGAATGGATAAGTCAAAGAGGATGTTAGATGCATGAAAGAAACTATGATGAAAAACGAATAAAATAATGCTAATGGAAATGGTAATGAATTCTTTGATTTTCATGAAAAAGTTAATACAATATTGGAAGAATAAGATGAAATCCTTAATATTCATATGGCTGCTATTAAAGTATTTTTATATATATAATATTTTTAGGAAGATGCTAAATTATTATAATAAGAAAGTGAATTAATTTAATCAATTTAAGGAGTTGGAATTGTAGATTATGATGTAGATACTTATGTTGGTAATCTAGAAGCATTTATTAAAAAAAAATTAAAAATTTATAATTTATTGAATAAAAAGCTTTTAGTTTTCAAGTAATTCTATTCAATTATATATAATAGAACTCATTTAAAAGAAGAAGAAGAAATCAGTTCTAAGATGAAGAATACCTTCTATTATTGAAAATATATAAATTAATTCTATTATTATATCTATCTCTATTTATTATTATTATATGATTAATTATCTGAGATAAATTTTATATTATTTTTAATATTTTGATATTTCAATTGAATATTTGAAATATTTTTATCAATAATTTAAGAATTTACATATCTAAAATGTTATTCAATTAAAAATGAAAAAAATATTTATCATATTAATTAAAGGCTATATTAAAAGATAAAGTTGAAGAAAAAAATTGTTTAACTTTAAAAATAAAAACCATCTTTTAATGATGAAAAATTAAGTATAACATAAATTTTCATTTTATTTTGTCTAAATATTTATTTCTTATTAATTCTTAAATTTTATGATCTTACTTCCTTATTTCAAATTCCAATTCTTGTTAAGTTGGTTCTTTTGACCATCTAAAAAAACTCATATTCTTTTTAATGTCGTTTTTAATATCTATTTCTATTGTATCTTTAACAATCTCTTATAACATTTGAATTTTTTGTTTAAGCTCTACAAATTGTTGTAATTCAATTTAAAATTTTTGTCCAAATTTATTTAATTATTCCAATTTTTATATTTAAGATAATTATTCATATAAAAATTCTTAATCTTTGGGCAAATCCAGATATTTAGAAAGTTCTAGCCATAGTTTTTCAGAATTTATTTCTTATTAGTCAAATCTGTTTAATTAGACTTAAACATATTTAAGTAAATCATCAATTTTCTCTAATGGTCTTTATTTAAACAAAATGTCATTTATAATTGCATTAGATATTAACTCATCAACATAATTATTAATTTAACTTAAATGTTTTAAAACAATATAAAGACTATTTTCCATAGACGGTGTTAATTTTAATTTAAAATTAAAATCTACCTTTTATTTCTTTTGTTAATCAAACAATACTTGGCATTAAGTAAAAATCTCATTTCTTATTTTATTGATATCTGAATTAATAATTTAATATTCAATTTTTTCTTTATTCACTTCAAGATCCTTAATTTATAGTTCTATTTTTTAATATTTATCTTGTATTTCCTTCTAAGATTCTTCATTATGCTTTTCCTTCATAATTTTGTCAATGATTGCTTATTTATCTATTTTCAACTATTCCAAACTACTAATGAAATACTTCTCAGCTTTGAATAATGTAATATATTAATTGTTATCAATTTTATTTTTTATAACCCTTAAAAATTCTTTTTCTTATTCGCTATTACAATTTTACATAGTACTACTCTCCCATTTATTTTTAATTTCACCCATAATAGCTTCATTAACCTTTATAAATACTGGAATAAGAATTTATTTTAATTGTTTGATATTAAGTTATTCATCAAAAAATGAATTAGTGTGTTTTATTGTACTCTGTAAATCGGTTTTTTTTTTATCTAGTTCCTCTCCGTCTATAAGTAACAAAGTTACTAATTATTTGATACAATTATTCTTTAAAACATCTTAATTTAATTAATCAATCTTCTTTCTTCAATTGTATCTATAAATCCAGGTGTATCTATAAATTTCAAATCAGATTTTCCAATATTAATTTAGAATTCATTTATTGATGAAGTTTTACTATTGTTCTCATGAGAGATTTCAAATAGTTTATCATTATTGATTACATCGAAACAATATCTTCCTGAACTTGTTTATATGAGTTTCATATTATTTGGATCATGTATAATATTTAATAGAGTACTTTTTCCTACTCTAGTAATTCCTAATACAACAACATTCAAGCTATTTTAGTTATTTTAACCATTTTAATTTTCAATAAAATTACTAATATATGATAATCTTTAAGGTATAAAGGATTCATAATGATGAAGCCAAAAAACGAGTGATTTTTCTAATAATTTGAATATTTCCTTTATATAATCAAAAGTATAATATTCTTTAAAATAATCCAAAAGATTCATATCATTATTAGTAAAATCAACATTGAAATTCAGACAATTATATTTTTCAATTTTCCAAGAAATATTTGGTATATCTTTTATTTTATTCAAATTTTCTACCAATTTTTTTAAGTAATAACTAATTATATATTTAAGATTGTGACATAATTATTAAAAATTTAAGTTTTCTTTTTCAGCATTTATATATTTTTTTATTTTAAATATTAATTATTTTAAGTTATTTAAATATTCCCGAATATATTCATTTAAGTTTGCTTCATCATTTAAATTTATTTATACCTCTAAAAGATTTTTAATTTATTTTCTTAATATGTAAAGAGATTATGAGTATTCATAAAACACAATATTTACCTTACTTTATATATACTATATGCAAGAGAATCCAATTTACTTAAAATACCAGTCCATCTATATTACATTAATTTTATTTTCACTAATTTAGTTAAAATATTCTATGGTGATTTAGGAGCTATTTATTGGTTGCGGTTTGCTTGGTTTCTCTTTTTCATTAAGACTATATATGTATCCTTCCTTAGTATATGAATTATTTTCCTAACATTCATTTTGATGGCCATAGTTATTTCGCTTATTGTTTAGTAAGCAAAATATAAATATATCCTAATCTTCTTCTTATACTTCAAAAAATCCTTCAAACAATTAAAAAATTCTGTGTTTGATTTTTTAATTGAGTTTTTCCTAGTTTTCCTCATTATTGAATTAGACTATAAAATTTAATTTTTTAAATTTATTTTATTAAAGAAAGCTTTTCATAAAGAGTTTGATTTTTGATAATTCATAATAGTTTAATCCTTCAGACTGTTTATCATTATTTTACATAAGGTTTTAAAAGTAGACAATAATTTAGGTATCCTTGACTTCCCCTATAAATCCATCTTGCCATTAATCTATAATTTTTGGCTTTATATATTCCTTCAATTCAATCTAACAATTTTGGTCTTCTGTAAGATTAAAATAAAATAAACATAAGTCCTTATTTTTTTTAATCTCTAAAGCCCTTTTTTTTTGAAATTATCTAATCTCTTCCAATTCTTTGAATATTCGGCTTATGGTTGCTTGCTCAATGTTGTCAAATTATTATTATTCTTTTTATTCTGGGTTGTTTTATTATTATAGTATTTCTCTTTACTCTTGTAATCCTATCATATATTGAAATAATAAAAATATAATTTTATTAAATCTTATTATATTAATAAAAAAAATTTTCACAAAAGGATTAGATAATTGTCAAAATATTCTTTAATGTTCGAAACTCTAAATGATAATATTTTGTTAATACTTTTTATCAAATAAGTTATTAAGATAATAAATAGAATAAATATCATATAAATGAATTAAGAAAAAACAGTAAATTAGTAATAAGTATTTAAGATTCATTGATTATATAATATTTGCAGATGATCCATCCTCCAAATAAAAATATTTAAATGAATTTATTATATTTAATATAATTAAGAACAATGGATGAACCATAAGTAGTAAAAATAATTGTGGTTAGTGAATCAAATGCTGGAAAGACTTCATTATTATAATAATATTGTTTTAAAGGTTCAATCATAATCTTTTAACAACAATAGGTTGTGATTTCACATTAAAGTGGATAACCTTAAATGGGACTAAATTAAAGTTGTAGATTTGGGATGTGGTTAGTATGATTTAATTAAGCAAAGGGTTGTTTAATTATGTGCGACATTACAAATAAAAAATCATTAGAAGCTGCTTTGTCATGGCGTCATGTTGTAAAAGATATTGCAGATGAAGTTCCTATATTCTTAATTTAAAATAAAACTGATTTATTATAAGGTGAGAGAGAAGAATACCAAACTGAAGAATATTTAAATCAATTTGGGCAACAAAACAATTTTACTTGTTATTAAATAAGTGTTAAATTAAATGAAAAAGTAAATTTGATATTTGATGAGCTTGTGGAAGTAATGATAGATAAAGGAGTAATAAAATTAGAAAAGAGTATAATTAAAAGGGATTTATTAATTAAAATGAAAGTTCATTTATAATTAAAAATGAATGTAATGATCGAAATAAAACAAAGAAAAAAGAATGTTGTTGAAAATTTATATCATCTCTATTACTAATTTCTATTAATATTTAAAAAACATAAAATCAATAGTATAAATAATAATTATTATTTTGAAATGAACTTTATAAATTAAAAAGAATCCTAATAATTTATAATTTACTTTGATTATAAAAATTCCTAACTTAAGTATTCCAATAATTATAGGTGTTGATCTAAATTATATTAATGGCAAATTAAAAAACTTCCCATTTAATTAATAATACATCTCTATTAATAATTGATATTATGTTGATACAAGTTATTATTAATCTTTATAAATATAAATTGAGATAATTAAGTTACTTTAAGTTTTTATTCAATTTTATATATTGTTACAATCCCATTAATCAAAGATATTAAGTTATATTAAATATTAATCAGAACATTTGCAATTGTATTTGCATTTCATAACCTTCCTTTTTATATTATAAAATTGAAAAGATTACAAATCCATGTAAAGAAATATTATTTAATTTAGAATGTAATCTTTTTTCCTTTTGAACATAAAAATTATATTAATAACATAAAATTCATGACACAAGTGCGTCTTCACCAGCCATTGGTTCTAATGGAATGTCTTCTACTTTAACAGGAACTTCATTCATTATTGTATAATTCTTCAATCTTTAATGTAGTATTTTTCTACATATCAATAAAACAGTCAATAACAATATTATTAAACCACTATTAAATATAATTTAGAATTAATACCCTAAAACACTACCAAGAGCAATTACTAAAGTTTCATCTTCTTCGAAAAAGAGAATTTCTTTACCAGTTATAGTAAAATTATGATAAATGACACATTATGAAAATGGAGAATAATCATTATCAGATTCTTTGGTACTACATTATGTAGAATTCATAATTAAGGCATAATGCTAAGAAATATAATTTAAATTACTGTGACATCAGTTGATTATGGTCTACATTACAACCAAGGGAAAACACTCTTAATAGCAAAGATATTGATTTCATTATCAGATATACCAACCATAAATGCTTATTTATAATAAATTGTAGCTTTCTAAAATGGTTCAAAATCTAAGGCATTTTAATTATATAATTTTGAAGTCTTAACTCTAAATTCTTCTACATTTTGTAAATCAAAATCTTCAAAATATAATGGAACATCAATTTTATTTAAATATTTATTATAAATTGAATGATAGATTACTCTATGAATTTCTTAACCAATCAAAATGGCATAATGTTCACCCATATAAACATCAAAGATATCCATATCTTTTGAATAGATTCTATTAAAGTAATAATCATTATCTTATAGAAATACTTCAATAGCATAGGGATCACCTTAATCAGTATTTGCTACTAAAATAAATGTCTTTTAATAGAAATCAAAAGAAACAATATTTTTTAAATAGATAATGATACCAGTATCTTCATATTGATTGACTGAAAATATTTCAAAAATTAATAATCCAACATCAGCATTTAACAAATAAAGTTGAGTACTTTCTTCATTTGTTAATACTTCCAAAAAATTTCCAATAAGATTTAAACTTATTAAATATTAGAATGTATTTTATTTATCAAATAAATAAACATCAATACCTTCTCTACCATAAGCGGCATAGAGAGTTTATAATTTTGAACAATAATGAATATGTTATGGTGTTTATTTTTTATTCAAATTTAACTGAATAAATTCATCACTCACTGTATTCACCATAAATGTATCATACAATGTAAATATAATACAACTATTAGAATTACATACAATCTAATGTGAATCACTATCTGGTTTAATAGATGGTATCTTAATGATTTTTACTTATGTGAAATTTTTAATAATATCACCATCAAAATCAATTTCCATAATAATTAAATGATTATCACTTCTAGTAGCAAATACTTAATTATTTTCAATATAAAGAGCTGTAAAGAATGCATTAGTAGAATTTGATTAAAATGTTTCCATAAAGAGATCTTAATATACCAATCTTCTTGCATATGGATAACAATCAGGTAATGTAAATGGATCAAGTGTTGTATTAGGCATCATTTCAATAGCCTCATCATCTATTACTTTATTCAACTTCATTTCATAAACTCCAGGATAACTAGATTATAGATATATATACTATTCTCACCTATTATATTGTAATAATAATGTTTATCCAACATTAGGACTATATTCTGTATATTATATATGCTCATTTATTCTTGTTAATTAAGGTTGTGTGATCCTTTGAAATTTGGCTATTGCAAATAAATAAAAAATAAACATTAATTCAAAATCAAAACAAAAAAAAAATCATTATTACAAAAAATATTCATTAGTTAAGTTGTTAAAATATCTTTTATTTTGATTTCTAATTTTTAATCTTTTAGATAACACCCATAATACTTCCTATTTTTAATGGATAAATTTTTAAGGGTTCATCTGGAATAATTAATTTTTCCTTTTTCAACATCATTTCTAATTTTGTTGTAATGATATTAGAATTCTTCTTTTTTAATATTTTAATTGCTGGAGTTTAAATCTTTCTATTGCTTTCAATAGATTATTATGATACACATCTTAATTTTGCAATTTTATTCATAAATTCATCAATAGATTATTTACTACAATTACTATCCTTCAATCTTTAACGAATTCCTGTAATAATAGTTATATTCTTGTCAGGTATTATTTATTTACGTAATGATTCATTTAATTGTTCCATAGTACTTGCTTCAATTGAAGCCTGTTATTTAGAATACAAATCAGCAACACTTTAATTGTTGGAAATTATTAACTCTATCCATAAAGCACAACTTTACTCTTGTGTATGATTCTATCTGGACTTTGAGAAATGAATGTATTTTGATCTTTAGGTGGCGATTGTTGCGATATCAATGTTCTCTCTGTTATTGATTTTATCTAATGTTGATTCAATTTTATTATTCTTGATTTTCTCTCATCTCTCTCTTAAGTTTTCTCTCTATATGATATTATACGAGGTTAACTGTTGTTACTTATTTTCTTCTACATTCTTTGATCTAATATTGCTATAATCTCATCTATATTTCCTGGCTCTGTACAATCAATAGATTTATCTTTTAAATTCATTTTTGCTATTTCTTACTGCAATTTTTTTATATTCATTACAATCGAATGTAAATATGAAAAATAATCTTACTAATTATTATTTGCAGTCATATATTCTAAATAGCTAACCTTTTAAAATGCCCATTAATTTAAACCCAATTTATTCATAGCATTTTAAGTAGCTTAACAATCAAAATCAATCTTTTATTCTAAAATTTATTTCATTTCTTGAATAGTCATTTTATGCATTTTTTTTTAATATAATTTTATATATATATGATATAATTATAGTAAATTAATATATTTCTAAATATTTAAAATAATATCTACACAATATTATATATATAATTGATAGATTTATATCTTCAATTCATTGTATACTCTTATCTCTCATGAGAAGGTACTAATTATAATTTTGGTTTAATATTCATTGCCAAAAGTTCTTAAAATAATAATTTACAACAATATGGCAATCTAATTTAATATACTTTATCTGTATTACAACCTCTACAAACTGAATCACTCTTAAACATTCCACATATTTCACAAACATATACATTAAATGGATCACTTGATATTAATAATCTTTCAATTAATAAATTTGAAGCACCATATGCTAAAAAACAATCTCTCTCCATTTCTCCTATACGTTAACCACCATCCTTAGCTCTACCTTCAACAGGTTAACGAGTAAGTTTTTCCATTGGTCCTTTAGCTCTAGCATGAATTTTATCAATAACCATATGCTTAAGTCTTTAATAGAAAATAGGTCCTTAATATACATAACATTCCATATATTCTCCAGTAATTCCAGATATTAAACAATCTTTTCCTTAATAATGAAATCCTCTTTTTAATAATTCTTCTCCTACCTATAATACATTCTCTCCTCCAAAAGCAGTACCATATTTAAATTTACCTTCCAAAGCTCCCAATTTACCACATAATAGTTCCATTAATTTAGCAATTGTCATTCTAGATGGATAACCATGAGGATTCATAATTAAATCAGGACACCATCCTCTTTCATTAAATGGCATATCTTCTTAATTAACAATAAGACCAACAACACCTTTTTGACCATGACGACTTGAAAATTTATCACCAAATTCAGGTCTTCTTATTTATCTAAAGATTGTTTTTACTGTTTTTATTTTTTCAGTTCCATCATTAGTATTATTAATAATTAATACTCTATCTACAGTATATGGCCACTTTTCTTTAAATACAGATGGAGTATCTGCTATTTATATATTTTCAATTTAAGGATTATCTGGAACTTAAGGTGTCTTTTTATTAACATATATATCTCCATGATGTAATTATGCACCTACTTTAGTTATACCATCACTATCAAGAGCATGATATTTCTTAATAAATTTCTTTTTTGTATTATGTGTTTTAGTTGGTGGTTCATCAATTCTCTCATTAAATCTACTTTCCTTATTTCTTTAATTGATTTCACATTCAGTAACTGATTTTTTATAGACTGCAGTTCTACCAAATCCTCTATCTAAAGAAGATTTGTTCATTATTAATGCATCTTCAATATCATAACATGAATAACTCATTACTGCTACTTAAGCATTATGTCCAGCAGGTAATCTATGTTGATTGACAGCTTCCATAGACACAGTACGAACTAAAGG